TCCGGGGAAGCGGGGGCCCCGCCCTGTGGGCTCGAGCCGGGCTTCGTGTTTCGCGTCGATCCGCACGTCTGGGCTCTGGCCAGAGCCGCGAAGGCGGGACCGCGTTGCGGGCCTCGGCGGGCTTCTGTCTTCGCTTCCTTCCCTCTTGCCACGGACGCGAGCCCAGGGGACCACATGGAGTGGTCCGTTTGGGGTGCGCACCCCGAGTGCCAGGCCGGGTGACCCTTCCCCGCCCCCCACTTCCCGCTGTACCAGTCTCTGCCGTGTTCCCGCTTTGGCGTCGGCTTCAGCCCGGTGCCTGGGCGGCTAGTGACCGGGCTCGGCTAATATGGACCCTTCGGTGGTGCAATTCAGGCCATGGTGCGCCATAAGCAGCCCTGGCTGCCATCCCCTTTGTGTCTCCATTTAAAAACAGCCTCTGCTGGACAATATGCCTTTGTCTGAAAAAAGAAAAAAAGAAGCCTCTGTGTAATCATGTCATCGAGTAGCCCAACAGCTTGGTTAGATGAGTGACTTTCGAGCTTTTCTTAACCACAGTCCGCAATAAGAAGTGCATACTGCAGCATCAGCCCATACCCATATACGAGGGGGAGCGCCCCCAGAACAAATTATCTTTTGGAGGGCAGGCCCCTGGTAGTGCAGGCTTCCCCTGCTAGGTGAGTGTCTAGGAACCCATTGGCATCGGTGTACCAGCTAGTGTTGTGCATTCAGTTTCAGTGAATTTTTTTTTTTTTTTGGAGATTCTTTCAGTGCACTTGCCCATTTCGTGATGGTCGATTTATGAACGCACCTGCCCACACGGTGCTGAGTGTTCCCTAGTCACCCAATCTTGCCCCAGCGACTTTCTTTTGTTTTCCCTCTGAAAAAAGCCCTCAAGGGGACATGTTTTGCCAATATGGAAGAGGCAAAACAGAAAAAAAAAAAAACGGCAGAAGCACTAAAAGGCATAACGAGTTGAAAACTGTTTTGAGCAGTGGAAAAAGCATCTCCTTAGCTGTATTGAATCAAACGGAGAGTACTTTGAAGGTGACTGAAGTTTAAATATGTAAGAATAAATACACAATTTTTTATAAATAAATTCCTGGTTTTTATACTATTCAAAATATGTGCAATTTTCTATGACCTTTTTAAAAAAGTTGTTTGTGACCCACTGAATTGTTTTTAGGGCCCACTCATGGGTCGAGACCTGTAATTCATAAAAGTGATGGCATAGATAAAATCCTGATGTTTTATGAGAAACATTTTGCAAGAGGATATGGCTGTTGAAATGCCTGGGTGATCTTTTCCTCCCAGTTGAACACCAGTTAAGAAGGGGAGCTAGTTTGCTTACAAGTAGTAAATATTCCACATTCTGCTTTGCGACAGTATTAGATTTGAAAAAATGATGTTAACTTTTACCCTAGTTGTTAAATAATACAGAATCCCAGCTATGTACAGCAACTGGCTAAGAATGTTCTTTTCAAAACTGTAGGGTGCTTTGAAAGTTAATTTCCGTGCTCCCTCCTGCTAGTTCCATTTTCTTGGATGAAAGCTCTACTGGGCAGCTCTGTCTTGCCTATAAATAAAAGATCTTGTCACAGTCAGTTGCTCTGAGCCAGGAGGGTATGACACTGGACTTCACAATAAGTTAAGCCCCTAAACCGAATACATTTAGGTGTGGTGGTGTATCTTTCTGTATAAACGTAGGCTGAGTTTGGGAACCAGGATTTCTGGAGAAGGCGCATAAAGACAACTAACCCTTACCATTCTCCTATGCTCAGGCTTGGCACTGTGCTAGACACTTAGGTGTGTTTTTAAGTTTGATTAGTATTTACCCCAAACTCTGATTCCCTGAACAGCGATGAGAATTTTGTCTCTACAGGAAGGCCAAATGGATGGAGCAAGGCCTGAGTCTGAGTTCCTTGGCTCCGAGTCTTCTGTGGCCGCCGATCGGTCACTGAAAACGCAACAGTGGTTACGCTGCCATTCTCTCAGATATGACAGGCTTGTGGTCCATGAGCAGGGTTTATGTTTGACACTCACTTAAGTTGCTAACTCTTTGGGTTAATGTCATAAGACTCTGGTTACAGTATTTTTTCCTTACTTGCAAGCTTTATAAACCTCAGCTTGCAACTCGGCACATCTATATTTATGTGGAAAAGTTTATGTGAAGGAAGTTTAAAAACAGTAATCACCACAGAGTGCATTTTGAAGTTTTCAATGCTCCAAGCTTACTCTTGCATTGCTGCTTGTCATGGTGAATACCTCAGTCTGGACACCACACCCCTGTTCTAAGTGCACAGCTGCTTAATGCAAATGGTTAACACACACTTGGAGCTACTCAGCAGATTGAAGGGCTAGGCCCATAACCAGCTACCTTGCTGATTAAAAGTTAACTGTTGTTGCCTATCCCAAGGAAGAACACATGTTTGAGTACAAAAAAAATCCAGGAGAAAATCATGTGACCTTCTCTTTTTTAGGTTAGTGTAACAAGAGCCTTGGCCATCCAGGCTTGGAGTAGTAAGTTGCTTATTTTAGGGTTTGCTTTTCTCCCCTTTGCATATATTTGTTTTAAATAAGGTCTGTCTCAGCTCTGAAATCCGGTTTTCCCAGGATGGCAGTACTCAGGACCAGGCTGCTCACTCTGCGCGTGCTCCAGGCCAGATTCTGCTCATCACTTGCTCTGGGGACTGAGCGCAGAGGGCTGGGTGGGGATTCCAGCTGCTGAGCAAAGTTGACTTTGATGTTCCCTTTCATCACTAGGCCAAGGAAATCTGGATTTGCTCCCTGTCTTTATCTATTGTTGAAAAGTGAAAAATTAACAAAACTAGATTTTTTAAAGCCACATTGTTCCAGATAAATGTTTAGGTTTGTTTATTTTTGGGTTTTGAGACAGGTTATCTCTCTGTCATGACTGCAATGGCACAATCATGGCTCACTGCAGACTCGACCTCCTGGGCTCAAGCAATCCTCCCACCTCAGCCTCTTGAGTAGCTGGGACTGTAGGCATAAGCCACCACATCTGAATAATTCTTTTTATTTTTTTATTTTTTTTGGTAGAGACAGAGTCTTGCCATGGTGCCCAGGCTGGTCTCAAACTGTCCTCAAGCGACCCTGCCTTGGCCTTCTGAAGTGTTGGGATTATAGGCATGAGTCACCGTGCCTGGTCAGATGTTTAGTTTTGATTCTGTTTGTTGGTTGTGATGATAACTTTGTGGAACATAATAGAAAGCAGAGTTCTCAACCCCGGCTACTCATCAGAGTACTTGAACTTTAAAAAAAATTCAATTAAACTTCCCAATTGAGTTGAATGTACATCCAGGGGTGAGAGCTATTGTATAAAGTATACTTTATATTTTAATGGTAACTGATGAAAAGAAACACCTATTAAATTTTACCTACTAGTGACCTACTATGAACGTGTATTTCTTTTTTAAGAAAAAAAAATCATTAAGGAAAGAAAAAAAAACTTACCTCTTGGTCAAATGCCCCTTAAACAACAAGAAGACCTCCTAACTGTGTTGGAGGTAGGGCTGTCATGGATATTCTTAAACATTCCACTTTCCTTGCATCTGCCCAGCTGGAAAAACATGATGTCTGGTGGGTTTGATGTTTTGTTTGATGTCAGAGCTCATGCAATCTCGCCGTTTTTAGTTACCTTTGACTTTCTCTCTTTCACTGTACCTGCCTGCCTGTCGAGCCATGCCTCGCCATTTAGGAAGTCACCGAGGATCTCGGCTCCTGAAGATGTGTGCTAATTGTTTCTCATGAGCCAAGGAAGGAGGCTATTTTCAGTCAGGTCGGTGCTTGGAATGCATACCCGCTGTCACTCCCATGCTGGCATTGTCGTCCACAGATCCCTGGCGATTGGAACCAAGGCCGGGTATAAGCTGTTTTCTCTGAGTTCCGTGGAGCAGCTGGACCAGGTCCACGGAAGCAGTAAGTGGGTACCTCGGCCCCGCCCCCGACTCGCATCTGTGCTGCTGCCGAGCTTTCTAGGGTTCCCTCCCTGAGCTGTCAAGTTACAGCCACCTCTTGCTGGAAAACCACGACGAAGCACTTTTCAAGATTTGGCAATAGCTAAAGTAACATTTTCTTTTTTATATTAAGAAATGCTTTGTTTGAAATCATGCTATTGATGCTTTTCCATAAACTTATATGCACAGTCATTAACTTTTATAACTGTCAAGCCAAAAAGTCACTAGTGGTTTATTTTTGCCATTATACTGGCACTACAGGATACTGCTAACATTAATGCAGTCATAAAAGCGTCTTCTTTGTCATGATAAGGTAGCACGGTCCTGTTTACAGAGCCCACTTCAGCGACCCTGAGGTCCTTCTCGTGAACACTGCAATTCAACTTAGATATGTGACTTTTGTATTTTCTCAGGGTAATAGTGTATGTCATCATATAGTGAATAATATTCAACCTTTGGGTTTCCTGGGAAGAAAAGTGGTTTGGTGAATAATATTTTGGGCTCCTATAAAGTTTTTTTTAAATATGTTTGTGAAATTTTTTTTTGATTTTTAACTTTAAAGATAAAGGGTACAATTTAGGGGTAGGTATTCAAATGTTCATTATACAGGTGCCCTTGCTGATTAATTTCTTTGTGAATTTTTTTCTCTGTATCTGTCCCATGTTGTTTCCTGTGGGACTTGCCCAGGCCCAAGAAAGGCAGACATATAGCACGAATGTTCTCAGAGAGACCCCAGGGCCTCCACCTGTGGCTGCTCAGGAGGCTTATTAACCTACTCTTCCTGAGTACAGCGTACTTTCCTGGTCGTAATACTGATGTCTAGATTGGTTTCAACAGGAAGGGGATTCCACAGAGGCCAGAGACCACAGAAGATGGGGGAGTACAGGTTTAGCTGTGTTACTGGCCCCGTAGTCACACCTGCCTCTCTAGCAGAAGAAGAATTCAGAAAAGAAGTTACTCCTTTGAAATCTCCTGTAGGGAAAGAGAGGGTAGATTGAGACCTTCCAAGTGTGGTTTGCAGAGCACACAGTGGAGCCCTGAAGGGGCGAATCCCACACGCAGACAGCACGAGAGGCAGCTTGAGAAACCCTGACTTGGCCTTCTAGTCACTAGAGCCTTCCTTCCTTTTTATTTTTTAAAAATTTGGGTCTTACTCTTTTTTGAGACAAGGCCTCGCTGCGCTGCCCAGGCTAGCCTGGGCCCTCTTGCCTCAGCCTCCCAAAGTACCGGGATCACGGGCGTGAGCCGCCACGCCCGGCTGGCTTTCCTTGCTGTGGACACCCGAAAAGGACGCTGAAGTGCCCCCTGGGGCGAGGGCCAGAGCTCCCCGGTGCTGTGGGCGGTGGGTGTGTCACACTTGGCGGGCACCGGCCAGCAGGACCTAGGGAGCGCCGGGAACTGGCCTGCGCCGGGCCTGCACCCCGCAGGCCGGGCCCAGTCCCTGCCGCCAGCCGTCCGGGTGACCTCGTGCCCTCCTCGCAGATGAGATCCCCGACGTCCACATCGTGGAGCGCCTGTTCTCCAGCAGCCTGGTGGTGGTGGTGAGCCATGCCAAGCCGCGGCAGATGAACGTGTACCACTTCAAGAAGGGCACGGAGATCTGTAACTACAGCTACTCCAGCAGCATCCTGTCCATCAAGCTGAACCGGCAAGTACGTGGGGGAAGGCCCTTGGGGTTTCCGGGCTTCTGCTGATGAAGGCCAGAGCAAGAAAGGTGGACAGCTCTAAAGATGCGCGTCTGTAAAGCCAGCATCAGATTCTAAAAGGGAGAGTCTTTGCGCCTGGGCCCGGTGTCCTGGGGGTGCTGTAGAGCGAGTGTGCTCTGTGTGTGTGTTTAGTGCTGTGTCTTTCCTGGTCTTCTGGCTCCTGCGTCCAGAACGCTGGCCACTGGCAGGCTAGGTGCGCCCTCTCCCCAGGTGCAGGCAGGCCCCGGCAGGGATGAGTCGAACTCTGGCCGAACTCGCGTGTGTTACTGCAGGACACCTTCAGTCAGGGGACGGAGGCTTTCCTTGCAGATGGTGTGAGGGTCTCCGGGTCAGTAACATCACCCTCCTCCTGCCACCTCCTCGGGTGTCCTGGGGACCGGCCATCCAGTCCCAGGCCCCTTTCTTTTTCCTCCAGCTAACCCTTGAAGATTTCTTCTTGTAGTGTTTTCCTTGTTGAAGGAGTGGTTATTCCTTTCTCAAATAGACAGTGTATTCTCTTTAAAAATATAGATTCCTGTCCAATAAGTATTGGAGGGATTAATAAATTTCCCTTTGAATTACTAGATTTTAGATCCTGTGAGAGCAGGGTCTGTGTCAGTTTTGATCACAGTTGCAAGACCTGGTGGGAAAGAGCCCTCGGTAGAAAAGTACTCATAGATATCTGTTTCCTGACTAATAAGAAAATAAACAAAGGGGCTCTTTGTGTGACCACACAGATCCATCTGTTCAATTAAAGATTCCCAGGAGATGGAGTTGTTGCATTCACTGGGGTTGTTGCATCCTTTGGTGTTTGTATTTTAAACTATTAAGGGCTAATTGATTATTTTAACAGATGAGATAAATAAAGTGAGTTCTTCAGTTTATGGGCAGGAAGAGATTGTTCCTTTGAGCTGATCACCTATTCTGACTGAGAGTCTACTTATGTTCTTATAGAGTAGTGTAGTCGAAATAGCCAGAGAGATTTAGTTATAGAATGTGATAGTCATATATTGCACTGATAATAGAACTTTAACAATAGTTCTGTCATAAATTCAGGTTGTTTAAAAGATTTAGCCCAACCATAAAAACATGACAGTAAGATTCTTAACACATAGTGTAATGTAAGGGGTTAGTTGTTAATTGAAATTTTAATCCTAATGGATTTAAATTTTTTTCAATGAAATTAAGATTTAAGTGCAAATATCTAAAAATAACACATATGAAAGAGTTAACTTTAAATATTATCACATATGTTAATCAACATCATAATCCTGCATGAAGTGAAAAAAGCATCTTTTCACTAAAATTTACAAGTCTGCATGTTAAAAAAAAAAAAAAAAGAAGTAGCCAGAGAAAGAGGGGATGGGATGTTTTAGCGGGAGAACAGGAGTAAGGAAGAAAAGAAACTCACGTTCTTGGCAGTGGAAGACGAGGGAGCCGGAGTTTCTACTTGAAGCCTTTTAAGCAAAGCTCCCGAGTCCAGTTTCTTTGAAACCTGTTGGTAGCATATTAAATCTCATTGCAAACCTTTTTCTCTTTGTGTTTATTCATAAGAAGTATACGAAAGCTAGATTGGGCACCAGATTATCATTTTAGATTTACTTAGATGAATGTGCTCTAGAGATCAGCACCCTCGAGTAGTATCTGTTGTATTTACTTGTATAACTTTTCTCTTTCCATCTGGTATTTTCACTGGCAAATGGGAACGGAAGGCTTGTCCACGTGTCGGAGTCTGCTAACCTTTGGGCACTCAGTGTAGCACTCATTAACTGTGAGGCTCTGTCCCCCACCGAAGAGCGGACGCACCTAGACCTCTCAGCATCCTGGCAAAAGCTCATCAGAACTCAGATCCAATGGTTCTCCCTTCCTGGAGCATGTTTTTCTCCTAGGAAAATAATTTGACACAGGTCTGGAAAGTGCTCAGGGTTTGCTTGTCTTAAAATTGTTTGCTGCAGCCTCCCCTTGCCAGGCAGGGGTTCTGTGGTGCCTGGAGCTGCTCACATCGGATAAATGAGAAAAGGAATAATGTCCTGCCTTTCAGTGGTCAGTCCACTACTTCATCAGGTCTTCGGACAGTGCCGTTCCTTTGTAAAAAAAAAAAACAACAAACACACACACACATACACACAACCAGGATACTGACATGGTGGCTCATGCCTGTAATCCCAGCACTTTGGGAGGCCAAGGTAGGAGGCTCACTATGAGCCCGGGAGTTCAAGACCAGCCCAGGTAATACACCAAGACCACAACTAAAAAAAAAAAAATAGTCAGGCATGGTGGCTGTAGCCCCAGCTATTCAAGAGGCTGAGAGGTTGGAGGGTTGCTTGAGCCCAGGAGTTTGAGGCTGCAGTGAGCCATGATCATACCTCTGCACTCTATCCTGGGTAACAGAATGAGCCCTTGACGCAAATAAATACATAAATATTAAGAAAGAAAGAGAGAGAGAGAAGGAAAGAAAGAAAAAAAAGGAGGAAAGAAAAGCTGTGTATGGTGACCCACACCTATAATCTCAGCACTTTGGGAGGCTGAAGCAGGAGGATCACTTGAGGCCAGGAGTTCATGACCAGCCTGGGGAACAAAGTGAGATCCCCATCTTTACAAACAGTAGAAAAATTAGGCAAGTGTGGTGGCACGCGTGTGTAGTCCCAGATCACTTGAGCCCAGGAGTTTGAGGCTGCGGTGAGCTGTGATTGTGCCACTGCGCTCCGGCCTGGGCAATAGAGTAAAACTCTGTCTCAAAAAATAATTTAATTTAATTTTAAAAACAGGACAAATTTAAAGATTTGTATAAGGAGTTATAAGGATACAAAAATCCCTATTTTCCAATTATATGGAAAGGAAGAATACTTAGGATTTGTCATATGTTTCATTTTAGTTAATGTTATTTCCCTTGTATTTAATTGAGAAAATGTATTTTATGGAATAAAGACAGTAAGCCATATGTATTTAGCTTTGCCAGCTTTTACAGTTCTTTTACAGTTCTTTGACCATCTGCTCCGAGGGCCCCTTGTTATCCAGATAGAGGTTGGTTGGGTTGAAGCCTCTGAGGCCAAATCTATGGTGCCCAAGGGCAGATGCTGCAGATACTGTTTAACTGATAAAAGCGGCTGTTACGTACAAAACATAGACAAGTAGATGAAAGTTAAATGCTAGATAGTGAGCTGGAGGGAGGACAAGATCATGGTCTGCGGAGGCCAAAAACCACTCGTCCAAGTACACCTGCTAGCATCGTGTCCATCCCAGAAGCGTGTGCTCGTGTGAACAGAGACAGGGTCTTCCTCCTTCCTGCCCAGTGTTTTCTATCTGTTTCCTCCCCTTTCTAGTCCTATCTGCAGCAGCAAGGGGGTGGCCTGAAACTCAGCTGAGTGGGTCACAGAGCAGATGGTGGGGAAAGATGCAGGTCAGGGCAGACGAGACAGCTGCCCTGCGCGGACATATGCTTCTGCGAGGACATATGTCGAGGCTCTGCCCTCCTGGGGCCCGGAGGCGGGGTGGGAAGCGGCCAGGAGGACACCAGACATCGCAGAACATAAGCAGGCCAGGACAGAGCCCCAACCGTAGTGTGTGCTGGCAAGGCCAGAGCCAATCAGACATATGGGAGATCACTTCATGGAGACACGTGCCATCGACTTGGAGACGCTGCTAGAATGTTTTACCTCTCAGTACCCGTCTCAGACCCGTGATAGAGCCTCAGCTAAAACTGAGGAAGGGGTTTAAGTATCCCTTTTCAGCCGATGGTCTCCATCCTTCTGAAGTGTGAGGAGTCTTACTGGCAAGACAGCAGGGCTTTCCTAGGAGGCCTGCCTCTGTCTCGTGGTCTTTGTAGGTACCTTTGCTTCCAGTGGATGCTCCTGGGAATCAAAGGAGCTGGCCTGAGAGCTGCGATTCGCCAACCTCAGTATGTGTCCTAATCGCCTGGGTCTTGGTCCAAAGACCCCCAGACTAGAGTCTCCAGAGAGCCTGGGACTTGCTGTGGGGTGGTTCTTCTGATGCTCATCCGGGTCTGGGAGGCATGCGGGTTGGGGGAGCCGCTGCCCAGCGCATGGAAAGTGCTCCTGGACCCCAAACGCCCTCCTGACACTCCTCCCCAGAGCCTGACATCTGCACTTTCATTGGGTCACACCTTCCCTTCCTTGACACCCAGCACGTTAACCTTGTAAACTGTTTCCACTTAGCGAAGAGCAAGCCACTGGGGAGAGGCCCCGAGCCTGACATGCTTCTGTCTGAAGAGGACGGGAAGAGTCTGGCAGCACTGGGAGGGCGAGCCCCAGAGAGAGGAGCCTGGGCACCGCAGGGGGATGCAGGGCACAGGGCTGGGGCGTCCACGTGGGGCATGAAGGCTACTCCAGGTCGCCTGACCCGGGCTGCAGAGTGGCCCAGAAGCGGTCTGGAGGAGAGTCCGAGTGGAAAGAAGTTTAAGCTGATAATTATTTGGAAGGGGTGAAACCTAAGATTTGGCAATGCAGAGAAAGCAAAGAAACTTGCGTTTGTGCAAGAGGGAGGTGTGTGTCACAAACACTGAAAGGCAGCCTATCAGATGGGAACAGGAAGCCAAAGGTGTCCCCAGAATGGTCTCACGTGGCACAGGGAGTCTGCTCAGGAAGTATTCAGGAGCCCTGTTCCAAGGAGAGAGGGAATTCCCCCAAAAAGAGAAGAAAAATCTCCATCTCTAAGGACAATTTCTGAAGACCTTGCATTTCACACTTCTGTTCAGTTGCACTCTGTGTGTGAGTGTGTGTGTGTGTGTGTGTGTGTGTGTGTACGCGCGCATGCGTTCATAGACACCAGCCTCAGAACGCACCATCAGAATCCTGCCCCTCTAGGTGCAGAGTCAAGTTAGGACTCACAGGAAAGATGACGATGACGCTCGGCCAACACCTTCCCGGGACTCGTGCGTGGCTGATGGGTCTGTGTGCTTTCAGAGGCTGCTGGTCTGCCTGGAGGAGTCTATCTACATCCACAACATCAAGGACATGAAGCTGCTGAAGACCCTCCCGGACGTTCCTGCGAACCCCACAGGTGAGTGCCCGACACGCGACTGATGCCCTCGGTCCCCATGCAGGCTTCCTTCCCGAGCCACATTTCCACCCAAACTGGAAACACGAAAGCAGGGTTTTTCCTTGTGTGTCTTTGTGGCGTTGACCTTGAAGCTTTGCTGTAATGGTAGCCGATTCCAGTTGTGTCAGACTGTGCGTCCTGAGGAGGCCATGTGTCTCTATCGCAGACCCGGAGGTTCACTCTTCACCTGAGACCCTGTCAGCAAATGTGTCCAGATGTTTAAAGCAGACATGCAGGCAATGTCATGCATCTGATGTTGAAAGGCATTTGCCCCTCGTTCTTTTATGTGGGTGTTCAGTATTGAGTGGGTGTGATAATTGGAAGCAGGTTTCAGCTTGGTGTGTGTTGTTTATAAAGGGAATAGCTTTTATTGCAAGAAAAGTGGAAAACAATGGGACTGCCTTTCTGTATCTCAGATAAACATTATAAAAGCATCCAGGGATAGATTGAGCTTTTCCTTATGAAAGTTCAGGGGCAAATTGACCAGAATATGTCACTGTAGATCTTTGATGTTCTTTGGAGAGATAACCCAAGGCCTCTCCAAATCCTCAAATTCATGGTTAGCACCCTGACTTCTCCTGAGCACCTTTTCTACCTGAGTAGACGGAGATGGTCATTTTCAGCCCCCAGTTGCCTCAGGGCACAAGCACTGAGGTCACTGTGGCCCAGTGCATGAGGGCATGGGCCGGCCAGGACAAGTCTGCTCTGTCCATGCAGCACTCACAAGGCTTGCTCACTGGACCCCTCCGACCCACAGGGCAGCCACACACAGATCCAAGCTGCACTTCAGTGACTGGCCAGCTCCTCAGAGGACTCTGAACTGTCAAAACATGATGTACAATGCTCAGAGGCCAAGGGGCTTCTCATGTGTTTTCATTATCCAGTCGATTTTCTGAGCAGAGATAAGATGGCAGCTCTGGCTCCTGATTTCAGAAACCCTTCCCCGGAGCACAGGGAAAACAGAACCGCTTGCCATGTGGCTTCAGCACACACATTCTATCTGCATTCTGGTTCCGTGAACTACAGATAGGTGAGATCCGCAGAGTTCTGCCGTTGCCTCTCACTCGCTGTCTCATGCAGCTGTAACTTTCCTTCCGTCAGCCTGTGTTTGTGCCATTCCCGTTCCTGTTGTGTCAGAGATCGCAGGCTGCTTCCTTTAAAGGGTTTGACCAGACGGGAGCTCAACGTTAATTTCCTGCTAGCACAGCAGTCTGTACTGAGCCGGCGAGGGTGGAAATCTCCATGAAAATCCTGCCAGCTGTAGAACTGCATCCTACACCACACAGCAGCGTGGCCGTGAAGCAAAGTCATGGCTGATTCCTCAGCAAGTCCTCTTTCTGAAAGTGGCAATGCAGGCGGTGTAAATGCCTCCCTTCTGTGGTAGCTTGGAGCATTTGCCATAGAGTGGAAATCCCTTTCCTTTCTGTTTTTGGAAAGACGCTAAGCAACTCAGAGGGAACCGCATGTTACAAATCACTGTTAACGCGCCTGAAGTGTGACATGTAATGCTGTAAATGCTAGGGGAGAGTGGTTAGATGGGGGGTCCCCAGCCCCACCAGTCCACGGCCTGTTGGGAACCGGGCCCACAGCAGCAGGTAGGCGGCCAGTGAGCAAGGGAAGCCTCAACGCATTCCCTCCTGGGCTCCGCCTCCTGCCAGCTCAGCAGCGGCAGGAGATTCTCATGGGAGCACAAGCCCTCTTGTGAACTGCACATGTGAGGGATCTAGTTTGCACCCCTCTTACAAGAATCTAATGCCTGACCACCCGAGGTGGAGCTGAGGTGCTATGCCAGCACTGGGGAGTGGCTGCACATACAGGTTAGCCTCAGCAGTGCAGTTTGCACAGAGATCGTCATAAATCAGTTGCTGGCAGACTCGTAGCAAAACCCTACCAGTGAGTGGCGAGTGAGTTGACGTACTTCAATTGTACGGCTGCATCTGGTGGCAGGCTTTAAGTCAGAATCCGACACTTACTTTAGTCCGTGCATGGCCCACTCATTATGTTATTTACCACTTCTGTCCGCGCCTCTTTTTTCAAAATGGTGAGTCATAATTATTTCATTATATGTTGCAATGTAATGATGTTAGAAATAAAGTTCGCAATAAGTGTTATGTGCCTGAATCATCCCCAAACCATTCTCCCTTCCGCTAGCCCCCTTACCCCGTGGAAAAATTGTCTTCCGTGAAACTGGTCCCTGATGCCAAAAAGGTTGGGGACCACTGGTTTAGATCACAAGACTGCCTTCTAACTCCAACTGATGATGCCATTGGATTTTTAATTGATAGCAGGCACTTCTTTTCCAGCTGTAGAAGAATTACAGCCAAAAAGTTTCATGAAATTATAGCTGACAGTGGTTTATGAAAATACGTGTCAACTCTAAAGCAAGTCCAAAAGCCATGTCAAAACCTCATTGCTTCTAGAAAGCCAGAAGAAAATATATACAAGTGTTGAGAGTCGTGAAAAGCCTCTGGGTTTTAGAATAGAGGGTGTATTTTTTTTTCTCTTTCTTTATCTTTCCTAGGCTTTGCAGATTTTCAACACCATCAATTTTATATTATAAAATAGTATTTTTTAAAGCCCGCTTCCTTCTTTGAAAAGACTTTGTGTGACAGAAACAAAAGATTGGTAGAATCACAATAGCCAGGCTGAAAAAAGTCCTCCTGCTTGCCTGAGGGGCTTCACAAGATGGAAGGACCTATTCATACAGCCAGGTGGACTCTTCTGAGATTTGGACCCTAGGGAATGGGAGGAAGTCACGGCCAGCACTTCCGGGGACCTTCATGAAGTCTGCAAGGGCGAGTGTGCCGGACTCACCGGCTGAGACCCGGTGGATGGGTAGAGGGGTGAGCCCAGAGGCAGAGCTGTCAGGCTGATGGCCTGTGTCGAAGTGTGCCTGCCCTGGCCATTATCCTCTGCGCCTTTCTTGTTAGGGTTAGGGTTAGGTCATACACCATACAGTTCGCCCGTTTAAAGTGCAGGCATAGCTTTTATTGTGTTCACTGGCTTGTGTAACCTTCACGACAATTAGTGTTAGAGCATTTCCACTACTCCACAAAGAAGCCATGTACCTCTTACCCTCACTCCGCCCCTCCCCC